CCTCATTTACACAGCTTAGAGCTGCCCGGTACAGATCCATGTGGCTCCATTGTATGCAGCAGCCTGTTCTTCTCTATGGGAGGACGCGGCCATACTCCGCCCTACGCTCACCCGCCCTGCATGTCAGTGCGGGTGTCTGTACTCGGACACAGACAGGATGGATCCTGTCTGTGTCCGAGCACGGACACCCTCACGGATGTGCAGTACGGCCGCATCCTCCAATAGAGAAGAACAGGCTGCTGCGTACAATCACATGCAACACCTGTCGTTCTCGGGAACATCCTGTTACGACCGTGCACGCCGCATGGATCTGTACGGGCCGACTCCAAGCTGTGTGAATGAGTCCTTAGCATTGCAGGGAAGCAAGGGTCTGAGGTGGGCTGTAAAGGATCTCTGGCTCTGCAGGGTCTCAAGCAGAGACTTCCCTGCAGAGAAGACCCTGCACATCCCACCATAGACCTTGCACAGCACTCCTGAGTCCCTAAAGACCCCTCCAGAGCCCACCATAGATCTTGCACAGCCCACCATAGACCCTGCACAGAGACTCTCAAGTGGGCTGTGCAGGATCTATTATGGGCTGTACAAGGTCCCTTGCCCTGCACAGATGCTGCTCCTCTTACCTGCAGCTCTCTAGCCTGCTTCCAGGACATGCCGCTTCTTCCTGCATCTTCGTCCAGCCGCCAAAGCTTCTTCCTCCAGCCACCCGCAGCCTCCGTCGGCCGGGCCACCTCTCTGTCTGTCCCATCAGCCCTGTGTCTTCCCTGCTCCGTGCCTATACCCGGCGGCACATACAGCCGCAAAACTTCTTCCTGGAAACGACTGCAGAGTCTGGCGGCCGGGCCATGTCTCCCTCGGCCCCAGCCACACCTCCTCTGTCACCCGGCAGCTCGCTGCCAGGCCCTACTAGAAGCCAACTGAGTAGGCAGCCCAGGCTGCCTGATTTTGTCCATTCGTCGCTTTCCTCTTTGCAGGGGGGTGGGGACTCGGGAGCTTGTTGTGTTGAAGGTCCAGCCGAGTGCCCTCGCCTCTCACGGATCTTCTTTTTATAGGCAGCATCCAGTGCCCTGGAATCTTCTAGAAGCAACACGAGCAGAGGACTGTCTCGCCTAAACTTACAGGTGAGCCTTAAAGGGGAAGCGCACTTACTTTGTGAGAGACATTTTTTTTTTTATTATTATTCTATTTTTCTTTATTAATAACATTGTTAAAACTAGGCCAACTAAATTACAACATAAAGGACCGGTGCAATTCCATGAAAGTGGGAGTCCAAATAAACCTGAGGAAACCACCTGAAAAATGTCATCTCTGGGCAGCATGTAAACAGATGGGAGGAGCGAGCCGTGGTGTCACGGCTCACTCCGCCCATTTGACATTCTTAGCTGTCAAATACCACATAGCATTTGGGTGCTCCCGAGAGCTATTCGTGAGCTCCCGAATGCCATTTGGGACTGTGAGCAGAGGTGTCATAATACTATTCATATGACACCTCGGCTCACAGACCCGAATGGCATTCGGGAGCTCATGAATAGCATTGCGGCTGAGAATGTCAAATGTCACGGCTCGCCCCGCCCATCTGTTTACATTTGGGCAGGAGATGTCATTTTGCGCCAAGTTTTTATCTGGTTTGGTCGGGCAGCGGGACTTTTTCTATTTTGGCGGGTTGGTGGGTGTCGTGCATCGTGATTGACGCTGGATTACATCGATGGAGCCATTTTTTTTTTTTTAATTAAAGGAATAGTCAAAAATTAACTTTGTTTTCTTTTAAATTAAAGGATTTTTTCTAAAAGTGTGGTTTATTTATTTACATTGAATTATAACCCTTTAGTGAATGAGTAGGGGTACAAGTACCCCTTACTCATTCACAAGGGGGAGGGGTGGCATCTTGGTGCCCTCTTAATTAAAGGGGTACCCCGATGAAAATAATCCCCCTTGCCCGCAGACCCCCAAAACCACTGGGTCAGGCTTGGAGACTCCTTCCCAATGCCAAGGGCACGTGGCCTGGTAAGGCACAGGGAGGGGCGCGGTCGCCCCCCTTTCCTGCCCTGCTGGGGCTGTGCTCGGATCAAGGGTCTGGTAGGAATTTTAGGGCGGACCCCACGTTTTCCCCCCCCCCATTGTTTGGGGGGGGGGTTCCCCCTTAAAATTCTGACCAGACCTAAAGGGCCTGGTATGGATTTTGGAGGGAACCCCACATACTTTTTTTTAACTTGGGGGGGGGGGGTGTCCCTCCTAACATTCCTACCAGACCTAAAGGGTCTGGTATCAATTGGGGGAGAACCTCACACTTTTTTTTCTCTTCTGCAGACTGTAAAAGGAAAACATTTTTTTTTTGTCTGTCACTTTGCTACAACGAATGTTCGTCCTCAAACAAAAATTCATACAGAATACCGCTTCATCCAAAATTTTCGTTTTTGGAAATTCGGATTCGTTTTCATTCATCATTTGTGTCATTCGGAGATTTGGATACATCCGAAACTCCGAATAACGAAAATTGGTCCGAATAACGAATCTTTCCGAAACGAATCGCACGTGTCTACATGACAATATGAGCACCTTTGACTGTGCAATGGTAGTTCTGGTATGTTCTTGATTTCTGTTGCAGCATACGGATGGTTAGGCTGAGAATTTTATACATTCGTCCATATATTCCATCTTGTCTTCTAGTATTTGCAGAGGTAGAAGTGTGTCCACAGACATATGATCATTTAACAATCTGTTATCATCTGTGCTGTCACAATTATTACATAAAAATATGACACAATGCATAGCCATAGTTAATAGTTATACAAATGTGAAGTGAGAATTTATATAGTTCATATAGTCCTATCTGATAAGGATTGTCTGCAGTGATTATATCTGCTTATACAGGCCAGGCATAGAGTTCTCAGCAAGGGATAAATCACTAATACAACAATCAGAATATCACCTGCATCAGGTAATACTGGTCCCTGGGCAGGAAAGCCTTACCCTAATACGGCTGATAACAGAGGACCAATGACAGCGTTTTCACAGGATCAGCTATCTTTATAGAGGTTCAGTCATGGAAGCCAACCATAGGATCAGCTCTCAGTCATGGAAGCCACCCACAGTATCTGCTCTTTATAGAGGTTCAGTCATGGAAGCCACCCACAGGATCGGCTCTCTTTATAGTGTATCAGTCATGGAAGCCGCCCACAGGATCAGCTCTCTTTTTAGAGGTTCAGTCATGGAAGCCGCCCACAGGATCAGCTCTCTTTATAGTGGATCAGTCATGGAAGCCGCCCACAGGATCAGCTCTCTTTTTAGAGGTTCAGTCATGGAAGCCGCCCATAGGATCGACTCTCTTTTTATAGAGGTTCAGTCACGGAAGCCACCCACAGGATCAGCTCTCTTTATAGAGGATCAGTCATGGAAGCCACACACAGGATCAGCTCTCTTTATAGAAGTTCAGTCATGGAAGCCACCTGCTATGTCTGCAGATTACCAGTTGGCCAGGGCCACCTTTGAATACTATACTGCCCTGTGCCCAGACTGGGCCTGCAGGATAATCTATTGTTCTCCTTTTTTATATAAATACAAAGCACACACGCTTTTTTAAAAGGATTTATTGGAATGTCGTTCCTGGTGTGTTTTGGTTGCACATCATATAGCAGCATTGCAAAATAGTTCACAAATTAAAGGGAAATTCCACCACCCAGAACTAAAATGGCAAAGTAATGTAATCAGTGTACTTAATATTTAATTCCATAGGGATGTTCTGGGACTTTTGTAGAAAAGGTGTCATCCTCTGCTTTGCTTTTTTTAACATACTTGTGAAATATTGTGTTCATCATTTAGTTTGGTGCAGGTCTTGCCTTTTGGTCTACACAGTCTCTATATATCTCTCTTATATCTAATCTTCCTCATTGCTAAAAATCTAAAGCAACTCACAGGCAGGAGGATGAGAGGCTGATTTAGTTGGTAGGAATGGAAGGGGTGCTTAGCTCTCATGGCAGGATGGAGGACAAGAAGGGCTGAATTGTAGCTAGCAGGCAGGGGAGGAGAAGAGAGGCTGAGCTGCAGATAACCGACAGGGAATTAGAGTTAGCTGAGAGGCAGAGGAGCCAAGAAGCAAAGTGGTAGCCTAAGGCCTTTAGCAGGAATAAGTAGTTAGGTTGGATAAGGGAGTTTGGAAGAATAACTGATGTAGCACACAAGTATAAAGAATAGATATGTTAATCACAGACTCCTAGCAATGAGGCAGGCCAGTTGCTTCTGTGGAAAGTGGTAGCTCTGAAAATAGCCAGAACCAAAAGCCTGATGAGAAGAGTTCCCAACCTAAACCAAAGTATCTGATCAACAGATAAAGAGAGATCAGAAAACCCCATTTCTTCCATGTTGGATCTGAAAAATAGTGAGGTAGAGATATGTGTAATTCAACAACTTCCAGGCTCATACTACACCTAAAATGTATCTTACTTCTGGGTGGGGTGAGGTATTATCACACAAAGGGTGTATTTATTAAAAACTGTGCAGAACCATTGGTCCTGTGAAATTGCATGTGCACTTTTTTTGTGTTAATAGGGACAAAAATTAATTTTGTTTATTTTCTTTACAGGTCTAATGAAATATCAGGGAAATATGACATTATGGCCACTAGATTGAGCTGCAGAGCATAGGAAATAAATACTTCTTTCTCATGCTCCTCGAATCCATGTAGTGGCCATAATAGGGTATTTTCCTGATTTTTACATTTGACCTGTAAAAAAAAAAAATATATATATATATACTAATAATATTCCTTTTTGTCTCACACAAAAGAAATGCACATACAGTTTCACTGGACAAATGGTACATTTTTAATGAATGCACCTTCTAAATGTATTTGTATTTTGGTCCTTTAATAGTTGATCCAGCTATACAACTAAAATGTGGGAAAATAAAGCTCTTGCCTACAACTAACAATAAAAATTCCAGTTGCCTCTACCAAGCATGTTTTTACTGCAAATAAATGTGATATGAAGGTTTATTTATTAGGGCCATGCAAAGTGCAGCAACCCTTAGCAAACTGTTTTCTGACTGTTGCTCTCACACCAGTAAAAGATGTCATCTGATTGGTTGGTATGGGTTGCTGCACATGGCATGTATTGCCCTGTCCATTGTTGCCATGGTAGCAACTAATATGATTGGCTCAGTGTGTGGGAGATGCGGCAGTAATGCCAGTCATATAACTCCAGGAGGAATGTAAAGATGTAACACAAGAGGGCAATCGAGGGCAACATTTAGTAGGTGTAACTGGGCTGGAAGAGGGATTTGGAGGAGGCGGCGTCTGAAGACCCAGAAGGTACATACTTCCCGAGAGATGCCAAACCGTTGATCTGCAATATACAATGGCAATAAGCAGACAGTTAGTGACATAAACCTCTTTAAAGAATATCACCCTACGCACAAATAGAACATGTCCTTTGTTACCCCTCTATACTACATAATATCTTGATTTTTCTCATGTAGGTTACACTTTTTCTTTTATAAAAGAGTAAACTGGACAGAAATGCTAACAGTGTTTGGTGAAGTATGTCTCAGTGTTCTGCCTATCTCACCTTGTCCTAGGAGTGGCAGGACACTTGGAAATCTATTTATAAATGTTTTCACACAACTTTTACCCAAGATTTACACAATGTTCTAATGATTTCCAATTGGAAACTGGTTGATTCCTGGGTGAAAGTTATGTGAATATTGTGTGAAAACAATTATAATAGAGTAGTACATAGACATATTCATTATGTCTATTATTTTTGTGACTGTCAGCCTCATCATTGGAAGTAGTTGAAGGAAGATCTGTTATTGCTTAGAACTGATCAGATTCTCCTATATCACCCTAAAGATATACACATGTAACGCTTGATTAGGTTTCCCACTCTCCCTTCTTTACAAGCCGGGTCCTAGTCAGGCCCTTCTCTATTCCCCTTAACCTTTCCCTCCTCTTTCCTTCTTTTTTCAAATTCTTCTCTCTCTCCCTCTCTTCTTATTAGCTCTATTGTTGCCTGATATATAATGCCAGATATGGCCAAAAATTATATTTCATCATTGAATGTTCTCCATTATTTTCCACTTGTTACCATAAAAGTCATTCTTATTTATGCAGTTACCTTCTTCATCCTGCAGCCCTGTAAGGGCACTTTAGATACCTATGGTTACTGTTATTACCCCTGTTTTATTTCATTTGGCCAACCTTGTAACACCATTGTTATATTTTTCCTCTATGTATGGTACTCTTTATGTACCTCTTTCTTGCAACAATAAAAATAAATATACCCCCCAAAAAATGTTAAGCTGACTGGTTGCTACAGGCACCAAGAATAGTTTTCCTTTATATACTGTCCACTGGCTATTGTCCACTGTGATCAGCTTCCATCTTTTAAGTTCTATGTTCCTGCTTGGTTAACTCACACTCTCTGTTTGTCCAGGTGACCATTGTTACCAAAACAATTACAGTTGTCACTGGAACAGGTGATAAGAGAAACTCCTCCAATCAAGACCCTTGTTTTAGTGACAACTGTCTAAGAGGGGATTCACCCTTTTTTGTAGACATTACCTCTCATTAACCGACACAGGAAGTTAATTATTCCCAACCGGACACATATAGAAGAAAAATTACCTGACGTGAGTTATAACCATTCCCTACCATGCCCAAAACTATAAAAAAATGTGCACAAAAAATACACTTTAGCTTAGACGTGGGCACCATGTCTGATGACTAATGGGATTCAATATGGACTCTGTTACTAAAATTGTCCTCATCTCCAACATGTGAACTTACTCAACTGTAGACAACATGTAGACCTACTCAGTTATTTCAATTCTTTATGCTACCTAGAACATCTAAATCTCTGTATGCTATAGGCTTTCGCGAGGACCACTGTCGTGCAAAGTGTGGTGGTGGGTTAGGGAGACGTGCTGCACCTTCTCTGGAAATGCTCTAAAATGGTGCATTACTGGTGTGGTGTGATCCAACAGTCTATTCAGACTCTTTATATGCAGTTAGTGTAACCCTCAGTGGCGGAACTACCAGGGTCGCAGAGGTCGCGGCCGTGACCGGGCCCTGGAGTTCGGCCACTTGGAGGGGGCCCAGGACAGGAGGAAGGGGCCACTGGTGACCGCTGATTACCAGTCCCGGGACCTCTTCCTCCCGTCCTGGGCCCTACATGCTTCACGCTGCTCCCCTCATCTTGTTCCGGGCGCAGCGTGAAGCATCATCCAGCCGGGCAGCAGCCAATGAGAGGGAGCGGTGTAATCCCCGCCCCCTCATCACACAGAACTGCCGCCGAGTGCTGCGTACACGAAGGGGGAGACCGAGACAGGGAGCTGGAAGTATCAACGAAGGTGACATGGGGTCGCTGGGGACATGAAGGGGGAGATGAAAGAGGACAGTGTTTTTTTTTTTTTCTTTTCTTGTCTAATTTTGTTTGGGGGAAGAGCCCTTCATGGGATTCTTGCATGGGGCCCTGAGGTCACTCGTTACGCCACTGGTAACCCTCTTACTTGTATACTGGGCTACTATGATACTAATATCCTCGATCACTAAAGGTGCCCATACACTGCTCGATTCTCGTACGAGAATCGGGCGAAATCCCGCGATCGTACGAGAATCGAGCAGTGTGAACTAAGACGTGCGACCGTTTCTACTGTACGGTCGCACGTCTTTTGTCGAGCCAACATGTTCGAAAACCCGCCGAGAATCGTACGATTCTCGGCGGGCTTCTAGCCTGCTCGTCCGATAGCTGCGGAACGGGCCGGTGTGCGCACGCGCACACTGCCCGTTCTGCATTGCCGTCATCGGAAGCCCGCCCCTCAGCGGGACGGGCTTTCGATGATCGCAAGTACGATCTGCCCGTCCAAGGTGGGCTTTCAAGAAGCATACGACCATCGCAAGACAAAAGTCTTGCGATGGTCGTAAGGTGTATGGGCACCTTTACTGTGGAGACTTTAACGAGAACACAATCTGCTGCTAAAAAACGAATTTCCAGAAAAAGGGTGGGACAAACTCCACCATCAATTAGTGATTGGATGGAAGGAATGTGACTAAAGCTTGCCCTTGAGAAACCTACCTACCAGCACCAAGGAGTACGAAGAAATACTGTATACAAACAAATGGGTCTTGTTGGCTGGAAAATCATAACCTCAGGATCTGATGCAATGTAATCTGATGCTCATGCTCCATATCTTCTAAAACCATTGGTTACAAACACCGATTGTGAAGTGTATGACCAGGCACCATTTTTAGTTGTGGGCATGGCTCGTATGGTCTTTCAATATCCCCAGGGGGGGGCATCATGTTATTGGTTATGAAAAATTGTAGAAATGTCACCAGCACACCAATCCTTTTAAGATAGCAAAAGCTTCATTTATTGAAGTTTTTTGTCATATGACCAAACAAGCGCTTTCGGGACCGCACAGGGTCCCTTCATCAGGCTTTAGCATTGACCATAAGCCTGCTGAAGGGACCCTGTGCGGTCACGAAAGCGCTTGTTTGGTCATATGACAAAAAACTTCAATAAATGAAGCTTTTGCTATCTTAAAAGGATTGGTGTGCTGTTGACATTTCTACAATTTTGCTGACATTCGTGGCGCCATCCGCAGTCGCTGCGAGCACCGCCCACTACAAGGGACATATCTGTAAGGAGTGCGACAAGGATAGTACTTATTATAATGTTATTGGTTATGGTCTCCTTGGTCTGGTTTTCTCTGCTCTACCTGTGTGTCTCTAGTATTTATAATGCTCAGCCTGTAAATGTTATTTAGAGCAGTGGATGGACAGTGTTGTTTTGTCTTGTTTGATTAGTGTTAGTAAGGTATAATGCACTTCACCTCCTGTGTGGCGTTTGTATTCCTCTCCCCCACACCTTTGTTAGATTAATACTTTTATAGAATTTGTAATCAGCTTAAAGAATTAAGGAGTTATCCTGACCTTTGCCCTCTTAGCAAAAGCCTCCTGTGCTGCTTTCTCATTTTCTGCTTTCCCGACCCAGGCAGATAGTGCTGAGGCCTGCAGGGCACGGCCATAAGAGAAGGACAGACGCCAGGGGCGAGGGAGACTGCAGCTGTTCATGGCATTCAGGTTAAGCGATGCCTCTTCTTCACTCTGACCTCCAGACAGGAAACAGATACCTACAGGAAATCAATGCACAGACAATTTGGTCAGTTTGTGACATGTATGTTGAGTGACCCATTGACATCTTGTATCTCTTGAAACCTCCAATGGACAAATCTCCTCATTAGCATTGTCACCAACTCTAGGCCCTCCCAATTTTAAAACCTAAAGCTGAACTCCAGGTATAGTGTATTATCTTGCTTGGCCCAATATAAGTATGCTTATGTCATACCTGATCGGTCCACAGGGATCCTGTAAGGAACTGTAGCAGCTTGAGCTACTACAGTGCTGGCCATGATCTTCCGGGTGCCGTATGGTGCTGTGCTAAGCGACATCCCCTCTGCTCTGAAAACAGGGTGGTCACTCAGCACAGCAGCCATTCAGAGAACACCTGGTATTCATTGATAATGCCGAGAAGAACTATGTGCCGAGCAAGAGATCCCCTGTGTTTTTAGAGCAGAGGGAAGCCGCTCAGCAGAGCCCCGCACAGGACCCAGAAGATCTCAGGCTGCTTACAGTGCTCTACAGGATCCCCTTGGGCCGATCAGGTATGGCATATGCATACTTAAATTGGGCCAAGCATTCTATTTAAGCTTTAACCCTTCTGACAATTAAAAAAAAATCCTACAAGAATATTTAGACCCCCCTTGCAGTGTGGATCTGGGAACTAAAATGTAGCAATCAGACTGCTTAAACCACTAAAACATAAGCAACATGAAGGTTATCTAATTGTCACCCACCCAAAATTGTAGTATCATTTTGGCTAGGACTGGCTCTTTTGATAGAACAGTGCAGATTTTTTTCAAGTTTAATGGACCTAGGCAAGGTTTGCTCAAACATATTCAGATCTGGACAAGTTTGGGCAAACTCAGGCATGGCTATACAAATGCAGACTTTTAAAATGCATTTTCTTGGGAGTACACACTTGAATAAGCAAGTTAACAGGTTAAAACAAACTCCAATAAGGATCTGATTTCATTAGTCAATAGAATCTGGTAGGACTGAGCAAGATCACCCCACTGGAGTTCCTTGATCCACTCCCTGCATGCTTCTTTACATTTTTCAGAGCTGGAAACTCATTGCAGGAATCTCCAAAGTTATAACCAGCTAGCAGGTACTTAGTTCTGTTTTACATGTACAGTTAAGAAATTATCACTAACCTTTTCATTATAAAACCTGTCTTTTTCATCTGCTTTTTAAAGATGCAAACCCCTGCACTGTCACTTTCATTCTGGCTTTTCGATTTGATATCAGTATCTCACTAGACAGTGGTGCCAGGTTCAGAAAGACAACCCTGGAGCCTGTACCTTTTGAAACGGGTCAGGGATGGCAGCCCCATATCTCTATACTTAGTGATTCACTTTGACAGCAGACTTACTTACCGGGAACTGCGGAAGGGACTGTTCGTCTCAGGGCAGTAACAGTTGACATGGCGACCTGCTCAGGTGTAAATTTTTGAGGGCTTGACTGTCCTCCTGTCACCATGTTTGGCTTTAAGAGGGTGCCTTTAAGATATACATGATGCTGGATGAGGGCATGGTACACTGCAGACAGGACCTGCATCAAGAGAGGCACACATTTATATAGTGTAGGTAGACAGCAAAATTCACTATTATGCCAGTTAAAGTTACAAATCCTGAATCCTTACCAAGAGAAGTTGTGTTCCCTAAGCACTAACAGACAGGTTAGACTGGCATTAGATACACAGGTTAGGGAGATCTCTAGCAGCTGTAAACACACAGCAGGGAAACCACTGCGTGCCTCTGCTTGTGTAAGAAACAGGAGGATAGGGATCATGAAGTTCTTCTCGGCAACCGGATACCTTACCAATTATCATCTAACCTTGGTCAGTAAAAATTTGCTCTTCCTGTATAGGTGAAATAGAAATAAACTTGAAAAGCCAGTTGCTTGACTGTTATGCTTTTGACGATGATGGGGGATTTGAGTCTGAATATTAGAAAATAGAATTTGTTTGTTTCCCAGTCAGAGCATGTAGGCCTTCAATTAGCATTTGACAGGCCCCTCCACATTCCACAGAAAAGATGCTAGATGGATGTGATCTTTTATTGCCCAGCCCTAGTGAAATTCCAAAATATCTCTCTAAGCCTTTTATGGCTGTCGTTAATTAAAGGCATGGCACTAGGCCCACATCCATTACCAGTGGTCAGTAAAATAAACAGGCTGGTCTTGAAGATGGTGGTGACCCCGCATTCTCCCTAAAGTCATAAAACCTGAGTTTGAAAATTAAGCTACATTTATTAATCTGGAATTGGGTGGGGATAGTGTAAACTAAAGGTTCATCCTCCGCATGCTTTCCCTCCCCAGCCCTGCCTAGGGGCCGGCTCCGAGACACCCTCCAAAAGGGGCTTATAAAATATTCTTTCGAGGCGACTAGACGGGGGCTGTTGTCGTTTTGAAAACATCAAGGAACTAGAAGTCTTAACATCGCAGAAGAGTTCCTCCTTAATCTTTGGACATTATCTGCCTGAAGTCTGCTTGAAGAAGAGCCCTGCAGACTTCCCATTCGCTTATTGAACTCTTAACTCTGTCAGAACTCACAATTCCAGGACTTTTAAGCATTCTCCTTTTATTCCCTTTTATTTTGCTGTTGTGTATATATTTTTTGTCTCTTTTTATTAAATCTTTTTCTGTATATTTTCTGCACCGTTTCTGTTATTAAAGGACGATCTTAAAAATCTTTAAGCTTATCTCTACGCTCTAAATACTAAGTATCCTTGCCTCTGTGAAGATCGCTACTGTATAGTGAATCCTGTCATATTCCTGTCTGAGAGGACAGCGCTATCACAGGCATTGTTTAAGTGTTTAAATTGTCGCAGCATTTGCTTGGCACGGTTTGTGTTCCGAAAAACACATGGTGGCAGTGGAAGTTTGGTGGGTAAAGGGTTAACTGCGGAGTTAACCAACCCTGGTGACGATCGCTCTCTGTCTGCTGGCCTGAGATTGTGTCCTGCGAGCTGGGAAATCTCTGTGCAGGGTGAGGCTGAGAGTGGTATCGCCACGTCCTTGTGACGTTCACTCTCGGTTCTTACTTGTGTATAGTCACGTGGGATTGACGTGCAGTGGGTTTGGGCCGGGCGTACGTCACAATGCTCATCCACTGGCTTTAGCACTTTCAGTCACTGACCTAGACCCAGAGCACAGACTAGTAAAGTTGTGGAAAAGCTGAAGTTGAAAGTCCTCATCTGCATGCGTGTTTTGGGTCAGTATTGAAGGCAGTGGGTCAACTTGACAGCCAGGCAGCTGCCTCTCATGGCAGGCTTCCTTTACAATAAAAAAAAATTATACTTGTAGCTAAACTGATCGAACTGCCATCCCCCTGACCAATGAGAATGCTTTGGTGGCAAATAAGAGCACTTTATTGGACAGTGCAATGGAAGCCGGTGTAGCTTAGTCCTGATGTTCGGGGAGGCCCATTTCTAGGTGCAACTAGTGCAAAGACATGCACTGGAAAGGATTTCTTGGCTGATATAGGTAGAATCAAACAATCAAAACAAGACTTAAAAATTTAAATTGATGAGCAAGTTTGCTTTAAGCAGTTGTCATGCAAACCCAGCAACTGAATCAGTACAACAAGGGTTATACAGACTTCCTTTTGTTTCCCAGGCCTGCAACCCCTTTTCCTTTCACTAGTTGTCAGGTCATTATCATTATAATGGAATGTCTCTGACACAGGAGAAACTGTCTACAAGTCCAGAATGGAGACTTAAGGTTGCCCACACACCTTGCAACAATCGTACGATAATCGTGGGAAATCCCGCGATCGTACGATTATCGTAAGGTGTGTGGAAGGAGTGCGACCTCTACTACTGTAAGGTCGCACGACTTTTATCTTAGGAACATGTTCTAAAACCAGCCGAACATCGTACGATTGTCGGTTGGTTTGTGGCATGTTCGCAAGATAAAAGCCGCACGAGCCGGTGTGCGCAAGCGCACACTGCCCGTTCGGCATTGCGGTCATTGGAAGCCCGCCCCACAGGCGGGCTTGCGATAATTGCAAGTACGATCTGCCTGTCCAAGATAGGCAGATCGTATGTTTTTTTAATTACCTTACAACCATCGCAAGACAAAAGTCTTGCGATGGTTGTAAGGTGTGTGCCCAGCAATAGCCACAACCGATCATATGACTGCAGCTACAAAGCTGGGTATAATTGGCACACTAGATTTACAACCAACCCCTCTCTACCAAGCTGGCCATACATTAATCGAATTTCAGCCAATTCGGCAGGAAATTTAAACAATGGGAGGGCCTATCAGCAGCCCCATCACCCCTTCCTGCCAGACTGAGGTGGTGAACGACAAATCTGCGCATGCATGGCCAGATGTGCTTGCTTTGTGTGGAGCCGCCATTTAAATGGTTGATGAGAAATAATAGCTAGGATTTTCTGGTCAGCATGGTCTGGTTCAAACTCCATCTGGCAACATTCCCAGACATCTCCAGTAACATCAGCTAACAAAGGTTAATATTCTACAATGGGAGATTGGAACCAAGGGCTCTACAGATGCTGGTGAAATACAAGTTCCAGCATTACGTAAGAAACAAAGTGCTGACCTGAAAAAAAATCAAGGCTCTTGTGTAAATTTTCTGGTAGCAGCATTAAGCGATACAATATACCAAAGGATTTATATTTCTGTCCATGCAGTCCTGAGATTTCACCAACTAGGCTGGTGACATGATTTGCAGCAAATGCCGCAAATAAGCAATAAAAAGATAGGTCGCCTCGGTCTGCCCAGACTGTTATTGGAGTATATAGGAGCGGTAGCAGCTCCCTTCTGCTCATACTGCTCTCTCCTCTCTTCATGTTCTTTGTCAGCACATGTGCCTGCAGTACACCTGATTGGCTCATAGTTCTGCCCCCTCCCTCTCCATATCTGCTGTACAGAGGTTTACAGAAGCCTGTTACCAAGTCATGGCATACACTGAGAGCATAACATATGATGGGGAATAGCAGGATGGAGGTAAACCATTTACAGTGACTCATCAGACTCCACTTCTAACTGATAATACACTTTTGGCCTGGCAAACCTTCACTCCATCTCACCTTTTCTGTTTCATACTGGCATCTTTGGAGGTCATGTGATCCATCAGACAGGATTTCGGGTTCCACGATTGGCACAAGACCGTTCTGCAAGACATATATATTGACAGTGTGTTAATAAAACACTCAGTTCTATCACATAGCAAAAGCACATCCTTCATAGAAACTGCCTGTAGTATCTCTCAATGGGAATTTTAGACAAGGCAAGTAGAGTGTACATAAGTGGATTCCCCCAGAATCAATCTTAATTATTGTCCGCTCGGATAATTACACAAACACATATACGCTAATACCTTGATTCATTTTATGAATGTTCTATTGTTTAACCTTTATAATACATTAGAGGCAAGTCAGTAACCATTACAAACTCACTACTTTTACCTGCTGGCTATACTGGAGTACCTGCAAGCTATACTAATTAGCGTTACCTATGCATATTGCATATATAAAAGAGTAAAGATTAGCCGACAGCTATAGGAAAGGATATATGATCAAAGAGGGATGAACTGCAGACATGCCCTTAGCATCTAGGGTTTGTAAATGTGAAAATATGGAGGACAGTTTAGTCAAATTAGCCTTAGGTCTCAGATAACAGTTGGACTTTGTGCTTTGACCAGGTCAATAGCTTTGAGCACCGGGATCTTGCTACAGATATATTTGCACGCATGAATGAGGATGTGATCCCACTGTTCACAATAGAGAAGTGAAGGACAAGTGGAGTATATGCTGCCGAAGGGGTAATATAGTGGCAGAGATTAGTTTGGGGGGTTAGTGTTTGCTGGCCATACACTGTGCGAATTTCAGCCTGTTCTTGATGAACCAGCCGAAATTTGCTTGGTGGGTGGCCCTGTCAACAGTCATCCATCCAGCACCCTTCAATCAGAAAATCAAAGGAGCCAGTCAGAACATTTTCGGGTAAATAGTGGTGGCAGATGATTTTCCACCCAGCTCCGACTTTGTGCTAACGGGGCCACTCTTGGCTCGCATTTGGGCCCGTTGAGCAGGAATCGCCCAAATTCAGGCCACGTATGGCCAGCCTAAATGAATACGAGTGTTTTCCAAGTCATTCTTTATACTTTTAAAAACCAACTCCATCTAGTTTTGGATAGCGTGTAGAAGAGTTTAGAACATCTTGGTAGGTTAATTGGCTCCTCTCTAAGTTGGCCCTCTATGTATGCATGTGAGATAGGGACCTTAGATTGTAAGCTCCTTGAGGGTAGGGACTGATGTGAATGTGCAACTATGTAAAGTGCTGTGTAAATTGTCGGCGCTTTATAAATACCTTGTAATAAATAAATAAATATTCTGTCAGGTTTTAAGAGAGCCTGTCAAAAAATCAACTTTAGACAAGTAGGATGGTGCCAACAGAGCAGCACACTGCCAGCTCAGCCAGAATTTGAGCAGTGTATGGCCAGCCTTGGGGGGTGTCTGGCTAATGTTTGTTGTATACATTAGTACATTTAAGTTAAAAACCTGCTCAAGACAAAAGTAAACAGGAGAAATTGTGAGATTAGAGTCCCTTTCTAGTTGAGTTTTAGACATTGCACTGTGCACAGAGCAGCACTATATCATGATCTGGACTCTGATAAGCACTTTGTTTATTCTCTCACTTGAATTCCTAATGGGGTTAATGACAGGTACAGAGCAAAGGAAAAAAACAGCGTAATCAGCACTGTTTGTTCTGGATGCAATCCCTGTGTGCCAAAGAGGCAAGGTTGTGAGCTAAAACCATACCAGGAGCAATAAAAAGAACACTACAAAGAAAATAAAAGGAGACCTGTCACCAACTTTAAAAAATGCACAAAGTGAAGTATTGTAAATGCTTACACGCAGCATTTTCCTTTCCATAAATAATTGTTTTATTAACTTTCAATGTGCCTTCCAACAGCCACAGTCCCCCCTCCCCCTTGCATGTCATAGTCCTTTCTTTTCTAATAGTGGTTTGTTACTGTATGTGCTGGCCCAGCTCTTCCTCTCCTCCCCTCAGCTCCCTACGTAAACTTTCATGTAGCTGCTGGAATATTATAGAGTGTAGCTGCTGAAATATTATAGAGTGTCACTTGAGTGACAGCTTAGAGTCGGCAGGGGCTGCTGACATCACATCCAAGATGGAGGCACCCGGTAGCAGTCTCAGGCCTTTTAAATGTCTTCAAACGGAAGTCTTTAATAGTAAATACTATGCACATAACTTGTTCAATGCAAATATAATCTTATGGGAAGACTTTTGTAGAAATGGATAATCGGGTGACAGGGTCTCTTTAAACAGACGCTGTCTCTTTGTCCATTCGAGTAAAAGTAACAGGCTATCTTAAAAGAGCACCCCCTCCCATTTCTCACCTTCATCATGCTCCCTGCCGTTCCATTACTCCATCAGAGCAGGGAGTCAACCCCGATGTAAGCTCTTTGGATGGCTTAGAAAGAGCTGATGACATCCCAGTATTTAGGTCAAACCTTTTTCCAGGAGCATTATATCCTGCAGGAGCAAGGTCATATGCTCCCCCATACCCAGAGGTAGCTGGAAATTACTAGCTGAAGCGTTTCTGGACAAGGATTAACTAGCATGATGTCTACTACTAAATCAAAGGTGCAATTGATATCATCAGGCAGACACTGAAAGATATATCAAGAAAAAAATCAATTCACCTGCTGGCAAATGCTGGCATACCGCGCCAATACGTTGGCATTTTCGTAGATTGCAAGGCTTGAGGGTGCGTGGTCTGCGATCTTCAGCACACAGCGCCACTTGGCAAAGTCAGCACCATCCTTTTTGTACTGAGCGCAACGTTCGGACAGTCCATCAAGACCTGCAAATGTAACAGGTAGAGGTTTGTAAAGGAATAGTGGAGAGTGCAAATGATGGCTACCAAAATGGCTCATGGAAGCAGGTGCTCTATCGCTTAAGTGAACCTGTCAATTATGTACTCTTAAGTTCAGGAATTAACACAGCAAGTAACTAAACCTGTGTTGCACTGACTGCAGCTTACCAAAATTGTGAAGTAAAGACCTACCTAAACAATCCTTTTACTTTTTATCCAGTCAGACAGAGCCTGGCATTACATAGCGTTTGGTAGATCTAATAGAAATTATACATCTAATAGAGATTATACAATCAAACTGTAGCATGCAGAATCAGCTTAAAGCCCAACTACAGCCAACACTTTTTTTGGATCCTACTGAGTTTTTTGGAGTTTTGTGCTTAGAGTGTAGCCACCATCACCTTCTGTGATGTGACTACTAGACA